CTCTCTCTCTCTCTCTCTCTCTCTCTCTCTCTCTCTCTTCTCATTGGAATACATTGCAGGGGCATCTTCACCAAGATCTTTGGGGAAAAAACCAGATGGAATCTTGGCTCATGTCTGGACTATGCTTGTGGCATTCTTTGTAGCCCTTGTTATGCTAATCCGATCTGTTGCATTACGGGCGACTAAGAAACTTCCAAACTCTGTTTTGGATTCTGCTCACGACATTCCTGACCTGACTGCTGACACAGTTCCCATGGAGGAACTCCGGCCTCCATCACCTGCTCCAGGGTTTAGCGGGGCTAACCTTCTCTCATCTGCTTTGCAGAAGCTTGGTGAACTTGAGGAGAAGGTAGGCATGCTGCAAGCAAAGCCTTTTGAGATGCCTTATGAGAAAGTGGAGCTATTGAATGCTGCTGTTTGTCGTGTAGATGCGTTAGAAGCAGAGTTGATTGCCACAAAAAAGGTAATTTTGTCTCTCATATGATAACCGTTTGTTTGTGCCGACTTACCAACAGTAGTGATTCATTGCTTGTTTTTACCTATGAAGATATCTGGTGTACCAACATGGTTGACTGAAATGTAGATATACAATGTTCACTAGTTACAACTACAGGTCTAAATATGATTTCACCAGTTCTCTCCATTTCCTGAATCCTTTTTTTTTCTTATGAATCAATCTAGATTTTTTGTCAAGTATACAGTCGTCATTATATGTTAACAAGGGTTATATATGCCTATCTTTTGATATTTGCATATTTTGGTCAGTTTATATATTCATCTTTGTTATTCCTTGCATTTTTCGATCATTTTGATGATTTAATTGTGATTTCATGCTTCTTCCTGACTAGGCTCTGCATGAAGCTTTAATGAGGCAGGAAGAACTTCTTGCATATATAGACAGGCAAGAACAGGCCAAGCTTCGGGTTAGTTAAAGATTTTGCTCCTTCATCTGTAGTTGAAAGATTTAATCAATGCAGGCTTTTCTATATTTTGCGAATGAAACTGAAAATTGTGCCCGTCTCTGTTGGTATGAAACAGAAAAAAGGGTCTTGCTGGTGAAGAGAGTCTCTGTTTCAAGAGGACTTGCGTGGTGATATGGTGGCTATCTTCGCTTGTTATGTTTAAAATATATTTTCGATATACCAAGTTTGTCTTCCAGAGGTGCTGCTGTTTCTGTTTATAAGCTTCCTACGCGTTATAATATTGTAAATAATGAAGAGTATTGTACAACATTCCTCAAGGTCTTCTGCCTGCGCATGCGCAATGACTCTCTAATTTATTTTGATACTGTAGTTATAATATGGAGAAATTCACCACGAAATATGTTAGAACCTTTAATGTTTATAACATCTGCTATAGGGTATGGCTCTCGTCATCTGCAACATTGATA